TCATTTGTTTGCTCCCTTTTTTAATCCTCTGGCATCCTTCTATAAGTTCTAAATAATTTAGCGTGTTTATTTTTTTCAAGGTTACAACTGCCATATACAATCTTATCATTGGAAAAGTGTACTGCGACCACCATGGTTTAATGAACATTCAGGGTAATCGGCAGCATTCATGCAAACTCAAGTTCAAAGAGCAGTCTATTCTTGACAGAAATCCTCGCCAGGTTAGTATGTTCATAGAAACTCCAGTCTCATTGTTTTTAGCCAGATTAGATACATTCTAGCCACGTAGGAAATGGTAGATTCTTCTGACCTTTCAAGATGCTGTATGACTGCCTTGATATCTTTCTTTCGATTTCATAAGCTGTATCATCCATTGTGATAAATGCCAAATGTTCTATTCATTATAGGTTCATGGATTTGTTGAAGATGTTTATGGGGAAAAGGTTGCCACTGTTTTTGGTAAATGGGATGACAGCATGTATTACGTAAACGGTGATGGGAATGGCAAACCGAAGGATTGCAGTCCCTCGTCAAATGCCTCCTTGTTGTGGAAAAGGACTAATCCTCCTCCTAATCTTACCCGGTACAACTTAACGTCATTTGCGATCACTCTAAATGAGCTGACAGAAGGACTGCAGGTAGAGATCATGTGGTAAATCAATTTTGCATATGCATATTTATTTTCCTCCCATCATGTCTAATCGTTTTTTATAGCTGTGTCTGATCCCGGGTATTTGATCACGGATTAAGGAGAAGCTCCCGCCGACGGACTCTAGACTTAGACCAGATCAGCGCCACTTGGAGAATGGAGAATATGAGAAAGCAAATGCGGAGAAGCAACGTTTAGAGAGGAGGCAAAGAATGGTATGGTTGACACCTTTAGTCCCTGATTGATGTATTTATGTCTTTGTGTTTGGTATTTTACTACTCTGAACCCAGGATGAGTAGACACATGCAGGTCCTCCGAATCTTGTGTTGCCATTATAATGCAATCATGATCCAAGTGGAGATACTG